TGCATATGGGATGATATCGAGGGTATGTCTTGAACTTGCAAAACTCTTGGATCACGATCAGCACATCAGTAGCTCGTTATATGGCAAAAACAAGAAAGCTAACCAAGATTCTGTAGTCAAGTTTACGGAGCGGCTTTTAGTGATTAGCAAAAAAGGCCGTGAACCAGTGCTAAATATGTGGAAATACCTAACCAAATTTGGCTAACGGTGCGCATCTTATTGATACGTGCCTATCAAGCGCGCGCTATCGTTCACGAAATTTGCCACCTTTGATTTCATAATGATACATGCTTCGCATACGGTAACACCACCTAGATACGACGCGTCAATCTTGCCCAACCAGAAAAGTATTTGATTTACCCTAATCGCTTTCTGGAAATGGATATTTTCCACGAATAAGCCCATTTAGATTGCTAACATAAATGACTGAACTACTGAACTCCAAACACTTCGGGTTACGATTTATTTTCTGTATCAATTCAACCGCAATATATTAATTGCAGCATGGCTTGGATCTTGAATGATATCCACGAAAGTCCCCGCGAAATGGGCTTTTCGTGCGGATAAAATGGACTTACGAGGGAAGGATACTTGGTGACCGTGGACTTTTACAATGAGATATACCAGTAGGTGCGTCTTGGAACGCTGATTCTAAATCTATGCTCGTTATCTGCTGTGCGACCTCCTGAACAAAGTTATGGGCTTTTTTCCATTTTGATTTTGCGAGATTTAGGCAGTCAAAATCGTCAGTATCCAGGCTTTCTAGACTCTGATGTATCGGTAACATTTTTCCTGAGCTTAACGTGAAGCTTAACTTTGTCTGTACGCTTTTTTATAGTGCGTAAGCGAACATTTTAACGATATTGGTGAATCCTTCAGCAAAAACGGTGCAAATTTTGGTGACAAAAAATGTTCATAACTTCTTTTGGAAGAGCGCGCAGCAGATAATGAAAACAGATTTGGAACCAGCGCTTCAAGTTGCGTTTAATGGTGTACGTTTCGTTTCAAAAGGCCACGGTCACCAAGTATCCTTTCCTTGTTAGTCCATGCGATGCGATAAGATATCGCATCCGTGATTCCATTCATTCCATACAAAACATCTTCGGCAAACCTTCCTCCAACTTGGGCTTTGGCCATACTTTGCCCGTGTTGCCGATGTTACCAGTGTTCCTCTGTTACTCGTGTTTCTAGTGGTACCGCCTTTATTGCTGTTGATTCGTGAAATGATTGCCAGTACAGTTTCATTCTTGAACGTTGTCTCGCTGAGTGGTGAGCATACAGGACCTGAGGCGATCATACTTCAATCTATCTATATATAAAACTCAATGTCTGTGAGGATGTTCGTTTAATTGTTCGTTCGTTATAGAAACGCGCGCCACTGAACCGATCCGGCTGAAACTTCGCACACGTATATTTTCGACACCGGCGGTGGTTTAGAGCTACTTTCCGCGGCGATTCGCCGGGCCATTCTATCGATTTATTGATTTGTTTACTCAAACCTAAGAAATGAAGGGCCATCATGGCAACCGATCATTTTTACATATAAGCATGTAAGCAGGGGCGGTAAAGTCCATTCCAGTCTTAAAGTTGGTAGGGTGCGGCAATTAGCCTGAAAGCGCTTTATGCGCATGTTAGAAGAAATCTAGAGGCGTAAGTTTACAAGCTCTTTTGGCTTAACTACATATCTTGGTCTCGGGTGACACCGGGGCCACCAGCTAGTAACAACTATGCTAGAAACTTGCTTCAAAAAGTTTTTGTGACACAACTATAATCATAATGTTTGATTTGTAGCACAATGAGCTCTATCGTACTGGCCAACGTTTTGGACGCCTTGATCGAACTTCAAAAAACCTTGTCCTCGGATGTGTCATCATTTACGCGGCCATATGTAAGAAGGGAGCACATTCCCTTTTTTGAAGAAAAACTTTTGAAACTGAAAGCAAAAAAAAATGAAAGAAAAAAGAACTTTTTTGAAGCAAGTTTCTAGCATGATATTATTATTGAAGTATGATCGCCTTAGGTCCTGTACGCTCACCACTCAGTGAGGTTACGTTCAAGAATGAAACGGTACTGACGATCATTTCAAGAATCAACAGCAATAAAGGCGGTAACACTAGAAACACGAGTAAGAGTAACACTGGAAACATCGGCAACACGAATAACACGAGTAACACTGGAAACATCGGCGACACGAAGTAACACGAGTAACACTGGAAACATCGGCAACACCGGTAACACTGGTAACATCGGCAACAGGGCAAAGTATGGCCAAAGCCTTGCCTCAACCTGTTTACTCACTCTTGCAAACTCATTTCCACCAAGTGGTCGACGCCTAAATAGGCTGAACCTAACTTTACAATATCAGTCACGTTGGTATTTCATTCTTTCCCACTTGTTACACCTCACAAAATGCCGTTTATTATCAATGACTATGCGTCTAAATTACATCCAGAACTAAAATTCATGTATTATCTGAGCCTTCGCGTTTCAAGACTTCTATGAATCTGCATCAAATCAAATTCGTATGAAAGCTTTTTGCGGAAAGCAAACTTTGGCTAGACTAACTGGAATCTGTGAATCAGAATGCTTATCTCAAAGGAAGCCTTGCAATGCACCACAACCCAAAAAGTTCTTTAAATCGGAAAAATTACGAGTCTGCAAAAGATAGTTTCGAAAATGTTCTACTTTAGCTCTTCCTAGTCTTTCAGCATTAATGTTTATATCTCTAAATAGTTGAATGTATGGACTATTGCTAGCAAGAAATTTTTCACAGAATTTTTCTTGCTAGTTAGCGGCACTTCATTTCTTGCGACCAGACCAATATCGCGATTGAGATGCCTACTTTGAGCTTTATTTCTACGAGATTAGTCAAAAGATAGCTTCTGAGTGCTTATGTTTAAACGCAAATCTTTTTTATTTTCACATACAAATCATGAATTTAGTTTTGGTTGATGATTGAAAGAGTTAACAGACTTTATTTGATCTACGCAGAAATTTTCGCGACCTGATATTTGGAAGCATTTGAGTTTTTGTTAGCGAATATTTTGGCAAATCTAACCTTCTTCCATGTTTCATAGCGTTTGTATAAGTTTAAAAAGAAACACTTATTTCAGACTTCACAAAAGACATGAAACTTTTTCACTCACTTGCTACCTTAGAATGGGTTAAGGAACACATTCTCGAAGAATCACCAACAAAAGTGTGCAAAAAGGTCAAATTTGGGCTTAGTCCCAGCTCATCTTGCTGCTGGGAGTAAAATGGGCTTTCAGGTTCATTTAAAATGGAGGTAAATCCAATTTTGCCCCATTGTCGTTGGACTTTTCGCACAATTCTTTCGCAAGCGAGAGCTCAACTACGTAGGGTTGAATCATTTTTATCACACCGCTTTGCCTCGTGGTTGCGATGAGATAAAATTTTTTGGATAACGCTAGCGAAAGCAGATTCCGACTAGTTTCTATCGCGAACGAATAAAATGGGGTTTCGAAGTCCATTTTCCTCCATTATGGACTTTCGTGGATATCATCTTGTCAGTAATGCTTTTATCACAAGACGTGCTTTGTCGAGTTCAGCTAACATACAACAACACAACTGATGATTTTGTCTTCCAGCAATAAAATCAAAGCTTTTTCTCGTTATTTTCTTGACCAGTGCGTCACCTCTGCTTCGCAGAGGCCCGCACTTGTTCTACTATCTGAAGCCCTACTCATTCTCGCATAATGATGGCATTGAAACTCACCGCGCAATGGCGACTATCACGAATAAAATGAAACAGCTACTCATCTAAAGTTTTTTCACGTTGGACCGGTGATTTCGCGTGGATGAAACTTTTCGCAGGAAGACAACGCAATTTTGAATAGGCTTTTGGATTTGTCATGGCTTGGTGGTCGCCATAGAGGCAATAGGAACCGTGAACTACATCTTTGTGCAAAAATCTTGTCAAATGCTCAGGTAAAGCCTTGGTAAATTGAACATTCACGCAACCCGTACTTTTTGGCGCCGTTTTTGTAAAGTAGTAAACTTTTGATCACTTTTTTGGGCCTAAGTCTATGGCTTGTACATTTATTTGCCAAACACATCCACGACTTTGCAAAAAGTGGAAATACGGGCCCTAGCTTACGGGCCAGAAGCAAGGTGGATCCGTTTGACGCGCAATACGAATTTCGTGACAGACAGAAGTTCACACACACACACACACACACACACACACACACACACACACACACACACACACACACACACACACACACACACACACACACACACACACACACACACACACACACACACACACACACACACACACACACACACACACACACACACACACACACACACACACACACACACACACACACACACACACACACACACACACACACACACACACACACACACACACACACACACACACACACACACACACACACACACACACACACACACACACACACACACACACACACACACACACACACATACACACACACACATACATACACACATACACATACACACACATACACACACACACACACATACACACACACACATACACACACACATACACACACACACATACACATACACACATACACACATACACACACACACATACACACACACACATACACACACACACACATACACATACATTCATATGCTTTCTTCTTTAAACATGGGCATTTCTTAACTTTGTAAATGATATTGTGCCAAACAGGTTTCATATGGTAGATGTTTATTATCTAACTTTTCGACAGGTATCGTCTACTTCGGAGGCTTGAAAAGGGATTGCAGTTTTGTACTTGTCAGTCTACACGACGATGTCTGTCGAAACGTTAAGCAATAAACATCCACCATAAAAACCTGTTTGGTACAATAACATTTACAAAATCTTTTTTAATCTCTCCATGCAAACGTGCTCAGTGATTACGCGCTAACTTAGAAATATATAAAATGCTACATGCTACGATCGACTCTGATTGTATAAAGTTTACACTCACTTGTTTTTTAGAAACTCGCGGTTCAGGAATACCAATCTCTTTGTAGAAATTGTTCATCATGTTGATGAAACGTTTATACGACGGCTTGTTGAGGAGTTCGCTGGAAACCCTGGTGAAGAACCTAAAAAATGCTGTTCTATAAGGCTTCTTCCGATGCGTTCCATAACGATACGGCTGCTAATCCGCGTCTGTAATTGTTCGTATGTTCATTCGCTTAAGCATAAGCACATATATTATATACATATAATATATGTGACCATTTACTACCTTGAGCAGTCATTTTTGAAGCTGCGTAAACTTTCATCAGGGCGCGGCACGAGCGACGCAATAAATGATAAATGAAACGCATACACCTTTCTCAGACAATCGCAAAAGACTTTCGAAGGCAGCAGAAATCTCTGTCACTTCCAAGGCGCGCTCTTAACCATTAAAGCTGCCGCGTGGGGCGACGGAAGTCCCAAAAATTTGCGGATTCACCGGGAATTTTTAGGCATGCAGCACCTTCGGGCAACTACTCAGATAATCGCCAGGAGCAGGCGGTCCGCAAACTCGCGCTTTTCTGCAAGCGGTCAACAGAACTTTGGGGCGCGTGGCTAAACCTTCTGCTGGCGGCACTTCCTTTACGGTCGCATATTCTGCCAGCGGGCAGCAATACAGCATTTTCTGCAAGCGCTCGACAAGTAATTTCTTTCAGCGAGTGCTGGTTAAACTTTCAGCAAGCGCTCGACAAGTAATTTCTTTCAGCGAGTGCTGGTTAAACTTTCAGCAAGCGCTCGGACTCCTTTTAAGCAGTTTCGGGCATACGCCGAGCACAGGTAAGACTCTGTATGGCAGACGTGTCACTGTTGGTTTAATTACTCAATTTTGAGGTACTTTCTCTTAGCGGAAAGTACTGGGAAGGAGGGGAGGGGGTTGCGCGGTCCTCCATAAAGGACCGTGCGGCTTCCGAAAATTTAGCCTATTCTCGCGGAAAGTTCGCGAGAAGGCGGCCACTGCCCGCAGTTAATCTATAAGAAAACCGCGATTGTGCTTTAAGCATTCGTCTGAAATTTTGCTCAAATTCTTCCAAATACCTGCAAGCGGACCGCAAGAAATCAACGAACTATTTTTCCGGTGCCCGCCCGCCCATAAATCGCATGGCCGCCTGCCCCCGGCGATTATCTGAGTGGTATGCAACCAATTCGCCAACACTGATATGCAGCTTAGCATTTTCGAAATTGAGCTGCTTTTGTTTTAAGCTTGGGGATCGTTTTTCTTATGTTTTTCTTCGCGATTTCGTGTTGCTCATCTGTGACCTTGGTTTTTGCTTTGATCTTAAATCTTCTTTCAAATTTGCGAACCATCTCCTTCCATCATTTCCTGTCCGTTTTGTCACGTTTTTGCTTGCAGTACCACCCCGATAACGTCAAGTGCATCAAAACACACCTTCTTCACATTTAACTCCGTTCACATTTGAGCCTGTTGAAGCTCGTTGATGTTTCGTTGAAGTTTGTAATAATGACAAGGTCATCACCGCTCTACATTTTGTCAAGCACTCATTTAAGGAAAGTGAATCATAGTTACGGAGTGACTGCGTATACGTGCGAAAGGAAGCTAGATGCACTTGAAAAAGAAAGGAAAATGCCCTTAAATTGTTTGCATTATTCCACTGAGACATGATCTTTTTATAAGAGCGTTAGTCCTTCAATTCATTGAATTTTATTTATTGAGCTTCTCCAAATGTGAGAAGGCATAAATCGTTATTCTGGTGTCTAGGGTGCATAGCTTTTTTTTGTCTGGGAATTTGATTTCTTATTCGTCCTACCAATCACATTCAGTGGCACGAGAAGATTGTGTTCTCATTTTTCTTCGGAGGTGTGGTACCTTGCTTTGGATTATCCTTTACCTTCCACACTTGGTTGTGTTGCCATTCCATAAATGTCGGGCCACTTTTCTGCAAGTGAGTTTCACTCAAAAATTCTGAACTTTCCTGAAAGTTCCCACGCTATGTTTTCTGTCGTTCATGTTGGAATCAACGGTCATCACTGTATTATTAACACACTCATTATCACCATGCTAGGCTTGACTACATGGGCAATTTATATTATTGGTTCTTTTATACCATGGATTTCTTATGGTATAGCTACCGTTTCTATTTCAGGAGTTCGTGTCTGGAATCCCGATGATCGGGACCCGATCACCTCTTTCTTTTGTCGCTTTAATGAAAAATATTGCTTTATTATTTAAATTATCGATCAGGTGCTATCGTTGTTTCGCTATGAGACAAGTTCAGCGAGCTCCTTTTCGGCCTCTAAAAGCAGGCGCATTTGTTTCAATGGAATGTAGTGGTTAGAACCCCCTTATTATTAACAACAAGCTGGCTTTCCCGGTCCAGCCAGGGCCGTGGTTCACCGCACGCGAGCCCCCCCCCCCCCGCCCTTTATGGTATGGATGACTTACCTTGGGAAGTCCGCTTGGAAACCGCATCCTCGCGATCTTGAGGTGAAAATGAGCTTCACCGCCCTCTTTTACATGAGTATGGAAAATGCTTGATTAAATATGATAACCCTTCAATTCCTCAGGAAAATGTAAACAAATCAATAAATCGATAGAAGGACCCAACGAATTGCCGCAAAAAGTAGCCTATCATCTGCGCAAGGGTCGGAAACATATGTGTGCAAAGTTTCAGCTGAATTGGCTGAGTGGCGCGCGTTTCTATAACGCACATACGGGGGCGTATCGTTACGTGCGGGCTGCCGATTGAAAATGTCGCGCACGACAGGCTGCCAGTGACCGCTCTCGGGTATTTCAGCCAGCGTGACCAGCAGCACATAGTTTTTCAGCTTCTCATCCTTTGTTGAGATTCACAGACTATTCTCATATTAGTTTTGCTTAATTACTTTAAATTCTGCCACAAAAGCTGTAAAATGAGCTCTTTGAAAAGCAAAAAAGACACAAGTTGAAGAAGGCAAAAGACTAACAATATAGGGGAAGCATTGGTAATCTAGGGGTATAAATTTGACAAGTTTTTTGCGCTGCTGCTCCCCGCGCGCGGTTACTGTGACGCCGCGTTGCGACGTTTTCCATTTGGCAGCCCGCACGTAACGAGCGCCCCCCCCCCGCACATACCCTCCAAACTGACAATTTTTGAGTTTTATATATATATACAGGGTGTCCCAAAAGTACTTAAGCCTAACTTTTCAACGTAGTAACTTTGTTAGTACTCCTCGCTTTTCAGCCAAATTTTGCCTTTGAGTTCTTCGTCTAGTTTCCAGTATTCTAAGAAAATCATACCGTTTGCGTTGTACATTCTCGAGATATACTTCTTGAAGCAAACAATACTACAATCGTGAAGACAAGCCGAAGGAAACGTACCCCCTATTTAAATATTTACAGCTCTTTTGCCTTTGGAGCTCTTGTGGAACCTTAAACTGCATATTATAGGGCTAGGTTCACTCTACATCTGCGGTGCGAAACCGATCAATAGTCTTCGTTCATTAGAGTAGGATTAGGATACAAACACTGAAGTTGTGCCGTGCCAATAAGAAGAAAACGTTCTCGGAAACAAAAACCTGGGAAGCTGAAAACTCCAACACCGAATCAGTTTGAGTCACTAATTATAGCTGTAAGCCCTGCATTTCCCACTGAAATACCATTTTAAAGTCACTCCCGGTACGCCATAATTGCTGTTTTCTTGGTCACACTTGATTTCTACATTTTGACACTTTTGTCAAATCTCGCAGATATGCTTCTCGGATTTACGTGCCTTTAATAGCCGGATCAAGAGACACTTGACTTTTCTTTGTGATCATTCATGGACAGCAAGACTTGCTCTATTCCATGCTAAATTTTGGAGAGTCTGGATTACTTGCTTCAGAAGGTGTGAGACAATCTCGATGTCAACTAACTGGCTGCCATGGCGCATGCATTCCGCAAGCGTCTGAGAGCCTGTGTGAAGGCCAAAGGAGGGTTTTCCGAAATCTGAGCGTATCATGTTATTTTGCAGGCTCTTCGCAAATTTCCTGCTGAATTTCATGCGTCTATGTTGCTTCATGCATTTTCAGCGGAGGAAATACTAGGCTCAAAGACTTTTGGGACACCCTGTATATTAAGTCATTCCGAAAGTAATTTCGCTTTTTTCAAACGGACGCCACAGACGACGGAACAAAGATTTCTAGAAGATATTGGTAGCATTCGATGCAGAATTTCATTCTCTTTCTAAAGGTTATGTAACTGTTGCAAAACAGTCAATGAGCTTTTAGAAAATGACCAAAACCTGCAACCCATGCTTTTCGAGATGGTCAATTTATGATTTTTTTAAACTTTCATATCAAACCTCAGAAGAACTGCAAGTAACGATTCGATAGAGTAAACCTTATAGAATACAGTACTACTTTTTCCTCCTTTCCATAGCTTGTCATACATTTTTAACAGAATTTTAACTGATGCTACCGATTTCCATACTTGGACATCTGAATCCTCGTAGAACATCAAAAGAAAAGCAGCTCGCGCACTATTCGATGCAGCATTTTATCCTTTCTAACAAGTGTTTTTTGTTTCCGATTCGCTTAGTTTCCGGGGATAAAATCATCATAATTCATTTCTAAAGCGAGCCCCAGGCTGTACCCGAAATACTCGAAATTTGATATTTCGAACCCATAAACCCTCACATGCTTTGTAAAATTTATGCTAACTAATAGTACTATCTTGGTAGTCTCAAATTCCGAAAAATTATGATGTTTGATGCGATTGTGGCTGAGGTGGGCCTGCCAAAATCCGATGGTTCTCTTAAATAATCTTTTAAAAAATTACGGCGAGATACGAGGAAGAGAAAAAAGTAGTGCTGTATTTTATAAGGTTTACACTTCGAATCGTTACTTGCAATCCTTCTGAGGATTGATATAAAAGTTTTAAAAAATCATAAAACTTGACCATCTCAAAAAGCATGGGTTGCAGGTTTTGATTATTTTCTGAAAGCTCATTGAATGTTTGGTAACAATTGCTTAACATTTAGAAAGAGAATGATATTCTGCATCGAATGCTTCCAAGATCTCTTAGAAATCTTTGTTCCATCGTATGTGGCGTCCGTTTGAAAAAAGCGAAATTACTTTCGGAATGACCTAATATATATCTAGATTGATCTGACTGAAATGTAGCGTTTCACAGGGATAATAATCTACAATGCATATCATCCTTACTGATTAACGCGCTCTTTGTTCGAGGATAACGCTTTACTTGCTTGCTTCTCATAGCATTCTTGTATTTGCTAGGAGCGCTTCTATGCTACAAGAATTTCGAAACGATTCTTCTCTGGAAAATGTGACATTTGGGTTAGTTCAATTAGCCTCATTATCCTTTACTTCATTATACGCTACGCATCAAATTTGCTTCAAACCAATGTCTCACCAAATGGCGGGGCCTTTACCTGTAGTTGCCCAAGTGCTGCAGAAAGTGGATTTGAAACGAGGAATGGCGGAATGGTGGCCCCATCAACATAAATGATCTGAAGGTAATGAGCAAACTTGGCTCTAGGTATAAAAATGTCGACAAGCTGATAATCATAATGAGACGTATTTATGGGATTTCCAAATCATATTGAAGCCAGTTTTAGACTTATCGTCTCCAGAACACCTGCCGGTGATGCACGATGGTTTACTATAATCGCTTCTGTTTTCTGGAACGAAATCGTCTCCAGAGCACCTGCCGGTGATGCACTATGGTTTACATCATTAATCGCTTCTGTTTTCTGGAACGAATTCTCGCATCGTATTCTATCTGCAACAAGATTTAGACAATGAAGCTAGTTGGATGTAATTATAACATTAAAACTTCACCACTCTTAATCGAATGGTGCCATATGGACAATGAATATATGAGTAGTCAAATTCGGTTGAGAACCACCTTTTCCGACGAAACCTGAAGTTTAGTTGGAACTTTATCCTATTGATGGTGGCAGAGTGCAAACGCACTAATATTTAGGTGTTATCACCGCTTTTTCTTTCTTTTTTATTAATCAGCTTTTTACCTCGTGTGGCTTATTCTCATTTCCCGATCATCCTATGTCACTTGCTTGTGTTATTAACACGCTTCTGTTGCTCGTCAGTTTTAGTATCACGCTTAAAACATGTGTTTCTCACTCTTACCATGAATAAATAGTATTACGTTTGTGTTGTCTTTTCAACAAAAAAAACTAATTTTAAATAAGAATAATATTTAGAGCTAGTTTGGGTGAGATTGAGGGGCATAGCTAGGGCTATACAGTATGCCAAAATAGGCTTTCAAGGATCTTTGAAGCAAAAAGCTGATCAAGATCTGAGGCACGAATCCGGTACCGCCGCCGGGATAAGCCCGGACGGTAGCTTTGAAAGCCTAATTTGGTATCAAATTAGCCCACCGGTTGGATCCGATCTGTTGTCTGAGTTGCCACTTTTGATGTTTACAATTTTTCCTTTGATCGCGCCATCTACGCAAATAGTTCAATTGGAGTGCGCTTTCCTAAAAAAAATCTTAATTCCCCAAAGCTCTCATTTTTGCACAGTCACAACTTGAGTTAAAACAGCAATGACTTTTAGAACAGAATCACTCAGCGAAAAACAAAAGAACTCTCAAGAACTTATGATAAAGGAAATTAAAATTAGGAAGTGACGAGTAGGAAAGCAATCAACAGCATGATGGAACCGGTCGAGATGGAAGCGTGAAAGTGTTCTTATATAAACCATTATTTTCTATAACTTTTACTTTATCATCAAGTAAGGCACCAATATAAAACATTGATAATTGCTAGAAACTCCATTAAGGAATAGTATAAATATGTGAGATTATGTTTGTGAGACACGGGTCTTTGTGTCTGTTCTCACCCTACTTGTCCATTGAATTTCACAATAAACATTGTTGGGGAAATAAGGTTCTGACTTTTGTTTGAGATATCTATTCAAATTACCAAAATCAAAATAGTACAAAATGGTCCAGGGTCGTATCAAATCTACGGAACTACCCGAAGCCTTACGTTTCCCCTCGCGAACCGACAATTTCGTAGCCCGGTTTCACTTGTTTCATTCTTCATCCGCGCCATTTCGGATTCTATCGTAGAGAAGAGAAAAAGATCTACAGCGCTTTACAACCTGAGTGTAACAATCACCCCGTCCAGCCGCCACACTTAGGTCCGCGCAGCGTTCGTGGCGCATCGTCCGGGCATTTTGCCAGGTCTCAATCGATGCCGCCGACGCATGCACCAGGCGGCGCATCGATTGAAGCTTGGCAAAATGCCCGGACGATGCGCCGCAAACGCCCCGAGTTGCCTAGGCGAGGCGGCCGCGTTGGAGGAGCCGCGCAAGCCGAGGCTGTGACTCTTGTGTTGAAAAGCCCTGTACATTACCATGTTACGAAATAGTCATGTAAGCGGAAAGCTCAGTTTATGCCCTTCCCCTCGGTGGCATTAGGGTAACAAATTCTACCCAATTTAAATGAAAGGCGCTTTTCGTTCACATAAGTTTTTCATATAACTTCAAAATGGTTATTACCCATTGCGCATATACAGCACAAATTTGAAGCCGTAAAGATGTGCGTTGCAAACGAAAGATATTTCTTTTTAAAAGATATTTCTTTCAGTCACTTAATCATTCACGATTTTCATAATTTGTCCCTCTTAGCTCTTACCCATTAACCAAATTCAGTGTCATATTCTTTCATTGTGTGTACTTTTAACAAGTGTTGTTCACCTTTTGGTGCAGGAAGGTTGGTCTCCTCCGGCAAGATCATGTATGAGCACTTTAAGCTTTAATGGTGTACTTGCTCATTATGTGGTTGGTAACTTCAAAGGGTACTATTGTGTGTTTTATACCCTTTGCTTTCCTCTCTAACAATATGTTCAGCTTAACACTTGCTACCCTTGCGTGGTTCCTGGTTTCATTGTTTTAGTGATGTAAGTATACATCACATATATAGCATAAGCAGTTCGCCATATGTCGTCAGTTTGCATGATATCTGTCGAAATTAATCTTACGGTTTAGCTGCACTGTCCATTCCTTCTCTGGACTGCACCTGAAGTTGATAATTGATGAGTATTTGACCGGGCCCGGCTTTGTTAACATCCTTGGCTCTTAGTATTTTCGACATTTTCAAGAGTTCTTCATCCTCTACGAGAAAATCTAAAATATTCATATTTACGTTCACTCGACCACTCGATCGATATTAAAGTGATGCAACATGTTGGTGACTAAGTTCTCAAAATACATGCTATCCATAGCTAGGTCACCAAATCTGCATGCTATAAGCTGTGCGAGATTCCTTGTAGATAGCTTATCTTGACTAAGGCCCTTATGCATGTACATCCCCGCGGGGAGTCTAGGGATCTGACAATGAGAGGGGACGCGTCATATTTCGCTATTCTAGATCGTTCGTCTTCTTTTTCTGTATAGCTTATGAAGGTCTTATACCTCGCCTGCACATAATGGATGCCAAATTACTGCCGAGATCAGATTTCCACTGTTTTTGTGTGTCCCCTGGGATTCCCAGAGAATCACCTCTCATTTTCAAAGTCATTTTTCTATCTTTTTGAAAACTCAATAAAAACGCGGTAAAATTGTACTGAGGATGTGCTGTGCTGCTGTTTTCAGCATTAAGCAATATGAAAATTATGAATCTATATACAAAGCTGAATGTCTGTATGTACGTACAATTGAGCCCCTAACTCATGGGGAAAAAAACGGATTGCGACAAATTTTTCCGTCGCGACATATTTTTCTTCGCAAAACCGTCGCAATGCTGTAACTTTTTTTAAACTAGTTTTCAAAAGAAACTGAGACCATCATTGGATTGCTGAGAACCTAGCGATTCAAAATAACTGTTAAAATTTTGAAAATGCTTTTATTTGATCTATCGCGACGTATTTATCGCGACAAAACCGTCGCTCCGAATTAACTTGCTTAAACATAAGTTTCATGGAGTAACAAGTAGATTTTTGGACTCCTGGCTGAATTTTAATTTAGAAGATGCGTCAAAAAATCAAAAAAGCTCTTGTACGAAGCATTTAGTGATTATTTGTAATGTTTTTGTCAAATTTAGGTCAAATTTACGAAAAATTAGAATAAATCGCAAACTTGATATTAGAAATCGCCAGCAATGAACATTGCGTTGTTTCATTGATAATTTCGGATCACCAACTATGATGCTGACTGATTTGGCCTCTCAAGAACTACCTAGCCTGCAGACGCGAACTGCCGATTTCAAGGCTTCATAATTTTCAAATTCATGCAGCCTTGTTCAAATAACTTCACTATCAGTAGAGTACAAGGACTCCTTCAACAATTCAAGGTGAGTCTAGTCTATTATATGGAATGCCTTCCAAGATACATGTACTTAAACTGAGGTGCGCATGCATCGCTGTCATTATGGTGCCACATTGTCGAGACCGTATTGCAGGCAGTCGGTCAGTAAAAGAGTCGAAACTTCATCCACATCTGTATCCACATATGCTTTTTCTGATGTATATTGCTGATCCTTCCATATTTTGAAAATATCCGGAAATCCTGCAGTGCAAATGTGCGCAGATGATGTAAAAATTTACGGCTGTTATAACAAAGATACTCAAGAAGCAATTCGTTCTGCAATAAATTCATCTTTGGAAAAACGATTTACTGGTATGCCTTCTCGTATATCCTTATCAACTTGGAAAAAAGTTATGTCATGCATTTTAGTAGCTCAGAAACCCCAAATATGACATTAGTCGAATCAAACTGAGAAATCGCTCTACAGCTAAAAACTTGGGTGTACTGATTGATTCTGATCAGACTTTTCTAGTTATATCGAATGTGTGGTAAATAATGCTTCGCTTTATTTATCTCAAAAGACTTTATCAGGCTTACGTTTTACCACATATGGAATATTTTTCCGTAATCTGGAGTCCTTTTTTGAGAAAAAACGTTTTGAAATTAGAAAAAAGTTCAACAATCATTTATACGCATGTTATAATTGAGATGTCGGCGAAGCTTTGATTTCACCGATATGACTAGCTATAAAAATCGCCTCAAGCCTTTGGCAGTGGAAAGTTTAAAGATAGACGCGTACATCTCCATCTAGTCTTCGCATTTCGTCTACTCCGAAAAGAAACAGGGCTCAGTGCAAGTATTGGATTTTCAGATCAACATATAGACATGATGGGTCTAATTACTTACATATTCCAAAAACGTTTTCGTTGAGTTTTCAATAGTTTATTTTACAGGAATTCCAGATGGCTTAGGCTGATACTAGAGACTGCATTACAATCTCAGAGCACGAATGTTAAACGCAGAATCTACATACTTGATCACTTATGTTTGAGGCACTGCAGAAATTTTCTTAATGGATGCATTTTTTCGTGACACTTTATGTTCAGTTCATGTCATCGTATTCTGCTTGAACTCCACGTTTTTATGGTCCACTTACTTACATATACATCATATACATCTTCAGCTGACTCTCATACATGACATCGTGTCTTTTTATAATTTCATTCCTAAAGTTTCAAATTAGAACTTCCTAACTATGTATTACCCTTCTTATGTTGACGTTATTATATCTATATATCATGCATATCCTCGTTACATAGAGCCCACTAGTACTCTGGTAACCTTCACTTTGAGGGTTATGAGGGAACACAACCTTCACCTGGAAAAAAAATAGAAGTCATCCGGGGGCGGCCCCGGATGTTATTATTCTGACTACATCGGAACGAATGTTAATGAAGCAAATATAGGGAACAATATCTTTAACTTATCTCAACGAAACCGACAATTTGCGTTTTCATGGCCTTTTTCACGTTAAAAAGAAGTTTTCTGTGAAATTTTCGCCAGAATTCAGGACAAAATTCCTCAGTTAACCTCTCATTTGCCCAAAATAGAGTTTCAGAAGTTTGGGAAAGCTGTTGGAGTTAAATAAAAACGAGAAACTGCGCTTAAATTTGCGCAGAGAGTCGAAAACGCCAGTTTATCTCGTTATTGAGTGATTTTCAAAGTTTGGGACGTTGTAAGTTCTCCTCGTCGTGTTATGACGATCAGAATGATATATAATGTTGCAGGGTTACGTTGAGACCCCGCGGAGATCTACTACCAGAGCCAAATGCCCCGTCGGCTCTGGTCTGTCTCCGCTGCTCGTCTGCGTCTCCGCGCGCTGCGCGCTACCTCGCTACCCCAAACGCGGGGCGCGGGGCATTTGGCTCTGGTACTCTCTTCTTCGCTGTTTCGAACCCAATTTCAACAAGCTATATATCATTATGAAGCTCTTGATCTCTATTTTTACGCTGACAACGTCCCAAAACCACATTTTTTGATTTGGTCGAGAAATCCGGCAAAAACCTTGATTTCAAAATCTCTTGTTTTTCTCCCAGTCTAACTCTTTTCATGCGGTTTTTTCGTGCATTCTATAGATCTTGCTTCTGTTCATATAGCAGACAACCACCCAGCCCTTATCTCTTCGATTATGGTAAAATTGTTTGCGAAAAATCGTAAAAAGTGCGTGTTTCTTCGATTTGCTCTATTTCAGTGCTTTCGCAGCGATTTTTTTTCCAGCTTGGACGACTGTTGCTCAGTTCAATAAGCGCAACAATCCAGACAACGTCCCAGGAAACAGGAACGTCAATGAGGGGGTAAAAACTTAAAGGACGCATCAAAAATCAAAACCCCGTGTTGCGAATTGCTGGTCCTGGAACGAAAACTTGCACTCTGAAAAGCAGCCAAATGAAAGACTTCAAACCTTACTGCAGCGTTTTTATCCGGTTTACAGCAGTTTCTTTTGCTTTTTATATCTGTTCTACGTCATTTTCTCTTCTCTGATCTTCTTCAAGCAACCTTCATTATTTATGACGTCAGATGTTCAAACAACCTTCATTTTTGGCGCGCTGTCTCTAGACTATCGAAGGTATGATATCATGGTAGCGATGAAAGAAAAGGCTGAAAGAGGCTGCTCAGTTGCCCGCCGAGTACGCATGGATTAGCCCATTAACTTGGTGCTCTCCTCTTCAGATTCGCTCGCAAGTAATAAGCTCAAGGCTTTCACACCATGATAAGCAAGTTGTTTTACTCAAATGGTTTATTTTCATCCATGGTAGCGAAGTAAGAGGAAACTGAAAAGGTTGCCCGCCAAGCACGCGTGATTTGTCCCAATCGCTTTGTTATTTTCCCCCTTAGATTCGCTTGTAAGTGATAAGTTCAAGACTTACACATCATGGCTCTGGAAAAGCGTAAGTGCACATATACCTCGAAAATGTGCCATATTTGATTCAAAGTCTTCCGAAAACTCATAACATAAGGCCACTGGAGATCCACATGATTTTATCTTGACATTGTGCTATTTGATGTTTTCTTTTTTCATAACTACGTTCCTTTGGAGCATCATGGATGTACTCAATAAACAAATAAATAAATAAATAGATATCCAAAGTAGTGAGATATGACGCGTCTACTCTCAGATCCCCTCCCATCTTCGCAAGGATGTACGTACAAATAGGCCTAAGATCGTAATGCCTGCAAAATGAGGAACAAAATTTACTCAGCCGAATGTCTTTTCATCATAAAACATGAAGCTGACATACGTTGAAGTTTCACTCAAACACCCAAGTTTAAATACTGTTGAGTGGTCACGAACTGTTACTGGGGTTTCTGAACGTCCACATAGTTAACACAGTTAGCTCCCCGTGTCTAGTGTAGCTTCAGCCCAGTACAACTCCAAGAATGGCAGGAGCTCTTATTTGTGGCAACGCTTGAGGTTTCCAGTGGCGGACCGAGGGAGGGGGGGGGGAGGAAAGCGGCCCCCCCCCCCGAGAATGGGTCGCAAAATTTTTGAAACTTATCTACATCTTATATATAAAGCTGAATGTCTGTTTGTATATTTGTCTGTCTGTATGTATGTCTGTGTGTACGTATGTTCCGAATAGAAATTTCCATTTCCGAACCGATCTGGACCAAACTTGGCACACATACACTTCGCGCCCCGGCGGGTGTCAAAGGCTACCTTTCGTCATCGATAAGTATCGATTTTATCGATTTTTTTGCGAACTGGGTGTTGGCACATTACAAATACAATATTAGGTTTCCGAATTATCGATTACTTTTATCGATTTTATCGATTTTTTTTGTAATTGAGCTACGTTGCTGGGACTTGGAACAGGGAGGTAATCGAGCATTCTGATTACGAGTACAGTATTAGTTTTGCGCTATTCGGCTATCCGGTCCCCAAAATTTTTTTTGTCGTAGAGCTTGCTCGAACTTCGTATTTAAGGATTATCTTACATGCTGATTACAGATATCACACTTTCTCTGCAAAACGTCTCCCCGTGTGGTTACGGTAGGTGTAAATAGGAAGTAAACCATGAATTCGACCGGAGTTCGCTCCAGAGAACTTATTCGACATGCTGATCACGATTTCATACTCTCTCTGCATATTGGGACCTTTTCATAGAGTTATGGTGGTTATACGGTAGGGGTCGAAAACATAGATTTGCTTTCAACTTCGTCTAGGGTGGTCATTTAGCGCGCTGAACATGAATATCATGCTGATTTCGTAGGATAGTGCATTCTTGGGTTACGGTGGGTGTAGATGGGTCGAAGTTCCAGATTTGCTCAAAACCTTACCTGTAACTTCACAAGTATACTGTTTATGATTGATGCTTGATCGCTGTCATAACGCATTATTGTGAAGTTATGGTGAGTTGCAGGGTTTGAATGGACATTTTTCCGCTTTCGGGCCAATTTAGATCCCAGATATTCACAAAATGGGGGAACGGTAGATTTGCATGGCGGTCTCCAGCGCCATCCTGATAATTTGTCCCAAAGTGTAATGCACGCGGCAAATCTCCCTCCACCTGTTTTTGCTTAAGCAAAAGCCGCCGAAGGGTGTATCGCGCGCGGCAGTGGTCCTACAAGGAAAGCATTACGGTCGTGGGAAACTTTTATACCACACGAATTGCCATTATCGTAGGGATTAAGCACGATATTCTTGAAACAGCACTTTAGGTAATTCTCTGCTAAGGTTGCAGGTAGATTCATGATTTTTACTCGCTACCACGCGAAATGACTACAATATTCGTCACCAGCGCTTGAATAAGCCCCATATACAGAGTCTGAGCAAGACCCACCACAAAAACATTTCAGGGTTCGGGTACCGAATAACGCCATCAGTTTTTAGAATTATCCCTACTTCTGTCGATTTTATTGCTTTTTTTTGCAAAGTTTGAGCTACGGGGCTGGGGGATTGGTGAGGAAGGTAGCTGAGCATACTGATTACTAGCACAGCGGGAATAGGGAATTGCATGTAGAAGTGGGCACAGATAAAGATGTACAGGGATAGAAATGGAACCTTTATCGTTTTTGACAGGGCTGGCGGAGCCGGCTAAGCCAGCTAGTCGGTTATAAAAATGTGCAAATGACTTGTTTGTTTTTGCAAGTAATTAAAATAATTTTTAAAAGTATTTAAAAATTCAATCTAGCCTTGTGAATTTTTTTCGGTTGCATATGAGTTATCCGAAACATTATGCTAATGATAAGCTATGTTTACAGCGTTATCACAATGCCAAAGCTTAAAGGAAAATTATCTATCATGCAGAAGTACCAAATGCGTAAATACTTTGAAACTCACTAGGAAGACTTCGGGCCGTGCATTGCACAAAAGCAACAGCTAACACCACGAATGGAAACATTTCTGAAACATATTTGAAGCAAAAAGAATGTGACTAATATTATCAGCAATGGAAAATGATTTATCTATTTGGAATTTTAAGCATACGAAAAATATGGGTTTTCGAAATGTTTTGAGCATTCTACGAGCACTTGGTGCCTGATCTTGGAGAGGAATGGTTGTGGAAGGAGGCACAGGCATTGTCTATTCCGGAAAAACTATCTCTAAGCAAAAGTGAACATATGCACAATTGTTGTTTCTAATTGGCTGTTTTCTTGAAAAGGTAAAGCTCTCAAAATGATCAATGTCTAGCAACATTGAGCTTCGCGTGGCATATATCGTAACCAGTGGATGCTCACGGTCGACTGAAAGTTTGGATGAATTTTTATAGCTGTGCTTCATACAAGGGAGAGCAAGAAAACCATGAATGTTAGGTGTTAATCGTCCAAACTTCTTAATCTCGCATTTTTGTACAGCTGCAAGTAGAGATTTGAATTATGCCCTTCTTATGACTTTCATTCAAGTTTCATAATTGTATAGGTTGTCTTCCGGAAGATGTGGTGTGAAATACGTTGAAATATCAAAAATGAGTCTCAAAAGTGAAGCTTCTAGTGATTCGCTTTTTTCTTACATTAACACTACCAAATTGCACCAATCATTAGGCTTCGAGCAAAAGTTCTTGAGTTAAACATTTACTTCAACTTTTCCTTATTTTCACTGAGTATGAGGCTTGCATTTCGTGAGGCAAATAGTGCATCGCCACAGCAGCACCCTTTTTACAAACGAACGAAATAAAATAAGAGCTTCGAAGATTGGAAGAAAAGTGAGAAGAGCAAGGAACGTATAACAAAAAGAATGTCTTTGAGGTATGCAATTTATACTATTCAAAGTTCGGTTACCAACGGCATGAAGCGCAAAAGGAAGTTATCGAAATCCAGTTCATCTGATGAATTAACTCTGCTGGTTTGACCACCAAGCACAGGAAATACTGCACTTTCCTCAAAATAATGTGTGGTATATAAGAAGACAGTAAGATAGAACACAGAATAATTCAAAAGTTCATCTTTCTTACAAATGAAGGAAACAGTCAAGATTAACATGTATGCGTTGCCAAATTTTGAGTTGTGCATGTATGAGTGCCCTTCAAATATTTCAAAAAGCGGTAGCGTCCTTTACTTAGATTTTATCTAACGCAATTTCAACGCAAATTTATTAGTACGTGGATACTCCATAATTACAAAAGGTCCACATGTCTTCTGCAGGAAAATAAAACTACTACATATCACACATCTCTTGCAACTTTATGAAAAGGTCTATTTTGAGTATTTGCAAGCTAGAGAGGACCCGTATAAATGTAATTTTAAATACGATGCTAAGAAGAAATGATAGCGTACACCGTTGTTTCAGAATTTTGTAAGAAAACATTTGAGAATCATTGTTATGTATTGTGCTTTGATTGTTGTTGATACGATAGCTAACAAACCATAAACGATTGAATAACCGACTTGCATTTGCATATATCTTTCTTCTGAAAAGTTTTTGTGGTATCAATCATGGCCTGCAAAGCTTCCATGTTTTAGTGATAGTCAGCACTAACAAAAAGGTACCAACTGATTTTTTTTAGTAAAGGAAGAGCTTCCCTAAGCAGCTAATTATAAAGCCTGACTTGTTTAAGCAAGACTTGATGCTTTTGCGACTACTACCAAAAGGTACTCGTGTAAGCGGTGGACCTGTAAACTTCAAATCAACAAGTCACTGGACCTAGCTATCGGCGGAATGCGAGACGTATGCCTCAAAGACAGTGTCTCGCAAAGGGGGGGGGGGAGGTAGTGTGGATATCTATAAGGGTGTCCCAAAAAAATGTTAACACTGTTTGATCGTTGATAACTGCCTTGCTTTAAAGTCTTTCGCCGAGCTTTAGGTACCATTTTGTAGAGCTAGGATAAACTTAGATCTACAGTATCGAGCGAATCATCTAGCTCTTCTCGATACTGTAGAATTACGGTAAGACATCTGACAAGGATTTTAGGCCATTAAAGCCCATTTTCTGCTTCGAAACAGAGCCAAACAAGCTGAAATCTCTTTTACTATGGTAATGAAGGACGCTGATTTCGGATATGAAATTTTCACTTCATTATGATACTTCTTTTCAAATTATCCTAGGTAAAGTGTAATAACTGTTTTTCCAGCATGTGTCAAAAATGTGATTACATCTCAAAAAAGCTGAAAACACTTGTAAAAAGTTGTGTAGTAATGTCAGCGTGCGCAAAAACCCTAGTACACGATTTTTCAGATTTTTTGAATAAAATTTTGTCAGAGGGCATATTTCACGACGGTTCCACATGCTGCAATTTCCTACCATAATTCTACAGTAACGAGGAGCGTTGGATGACTCGCTTGAGACTGTAAATCTAAGTTTATCCTTGCTTTACAAAATAGTACCTAAAGCTCGGCGAAAGACTTGAAAGCAAGGGAGTTATTAACGATCAAACAGTGTTAACATTTTTTTGGGACACCCTGTATATTCTATAAGCGGCGGACCTCTCCGAATAGGCTATTGCCCGACTCTGCCTCAGTATGACCACCCTTTCTTTTGCAAGAATATTATACTTTTGACCCGCAAAGGGCGCACTTTCAAGTAGTCTCCGTGGAGCCTTTGCAAGGCAGGGTTTTCGGAAAATTCATGCGATTTGAAAAAGCGAAGGTCTGATTAAGGTTGGAAAGGTCTGTAATACGCAAAATTTTCTACACACTTTGTTGAAAAACTGCCCTTTAAAGGCACCGTCCATCCTAGGGACAGCATGCGATAATAGGACCCTCTCTAACCAAAGCTCAAGTTGAGCCGCAAAATGTCGCTTTCATAAGAGATCGCTCCGAAGTAAAGAAGAGTCCCCCTAAGCTGCACCGCCCCTCCAGTAAGCACCCCCCCCCCTGGCATCCGTGTTTGGCCATCCAACCCCCTCGGGTTCGTCGGGACGGAGTTTGTCGGGGTTTTCGCGGATTCTCGGCTTCATATCCCTAATTAGGAGCACGAAAAGGCCCCAGAATGACAAAAACATTCAAGTCGGAAATTTGAACGGTGCCGAGTTTTGTGCTCAACAAAGCCTTTTTGGTTGAAGTGGCCTTTCCATTTGACACCTATATCACTTTATAGAGCATTGAACGGTAATTCCAAATCTGTTCCTTTTCTGCACTCTCTAAAAAAGTTACGAGCGTTGAAAGAATTTGAATTTGGCAAATTTTAAGGGAAAATCAGAAAAGCTATGCAAAAATACTAATAAGGATTTCCAAAAGGCTGTGTTCTTTCCTTACAGTCAATACTTTTAGGATCGCATGTGCATTAACAAATACGAAGTCATGAAAGCTAGCTAGCTTTTTTCTAATGAGAAGCTTAGCATGGCTAAAAGCTTGAAACAAAGGTTCACATCCTGAAGTCCAAATATCTGGATTCCATGCTGTCTACCTGTCGCAAGCATTCCTACTATTCCTCACTATAGACGAACTGAACATGAGCGAGAGGTTGTACAAGTCGCAGTTCAGGTTTTTCTATGTCCTTAATGATCCCCGGCGGCCGATCGCCTTTTCCTCAAAGTCATTTTCCTTTTTTTTTGAGAGTCGTGAAAGAAGAAAAGAAGAAAATGTGTAAAAGTTAGATGATTTTGTAAAACTTTTGCACAATTTCACTGGTTTTGAAAAAAGAAAAATGACTTTAAGAAGAGGCTGTCGGTCGGAAATCATCAAGGAATACAGAAATACAAAAAGGAAAGACATCAAGGAATACAAAAAGTGGAAAATGTGGCTTGTACAATTTCTCGCTTCTGTTCGATACGTTTATAGTGAGGGTTAGCAGGAATACTTACGGGCAGGTAGACAGCGTGAACTCAAGATATTTGGATTAGGATATGAAACTTTTCTGAGCTGCAACCCTCTTCCCGGCAGGAATGTTGATGCATGCGGCCTTTACAATCAAAGATTCCTTTGTTAGCCATGATTATGGTACAGAAATGTAATCAATTTTGCTAATCCTACATGCAGTAGCGATGAGCATCAGTAGGAGTGAAGAACATTGAATTTTCAATGAGAAGTGGAAAAACAGCAAAGTTGTGTGCTGAGCCATTTGTACAAACAATCACACAAATAAAGCAAGCTAGAAATAAATGCGCGCTTGCTTCAGTTAGTCGCATTCTTATATGAAAGTTTGATAGATTCTTGAAGCCAAGTTGAAAGTCCTCACTTTTTTAATCACTTTCATAATCAGCAGCTATTATTGAGTCAATACGACTTAAACTAGCTTTCTTTAAGATTTGTACGTCAATGTGTGCTCCTCAGTACGAAAGTTTCTGTCGTTTACGCATGGGACACGCACGAGATCATGGAAAGCGAAAGTGATCTCTAGTCTGTATGAGGGTGACAGTTCCTTTAAATGACAAGTGATTCGAATTAGGTTAATTACAGTGGGTGTACTCGCTATTTCAAGTTCAGGGGTGAAAAAGAAACAAAGTATTCACTTGAACTCATTTTGTTGGCTGCTTATTTACCAGACTTAGAAAAACTCAAATTTTTTTTCGAATACTCGATTATCGAATATCATTCGAAATGGAAGTCTTTGAATCGAACAATATTCAAACATCGAATATCATTCGTTATTCGAATTTCGAATATTATTCGGGTCCCAAATGTTATTCGATTTTCGATTATCTCATGTCAGTGAGACTGCCTGTGAGGGACCAAAACATCTAAGAATAATTGTTCCATTGAAAATAGACACTTTCTCAGTTACAATTTAGGATGAACGACGATTTGATGGTAACTTGAAGAGACTTAAAAACCTAAAAGCGTACTCCTGTACGGTTGTAGTAAAGAGATTTTTCGAACTTTATATATTAGGTTGGTCCGAAAGTTCTGTCCCACCATTTTCAAAAAATCATTACTTCTTCCTAACACGATCTTTCTGTATGTCTAAAACCTTGTTGAAAAGAGCAATTCATGCACTTTTAAAAACTACCTTGGCTGCTATCTACC